ACTAAAAGAGACGAAAATAGCGAGAAACCGAACGAAATTTATGATTAAAGGAAGAACACCACCACCGTCAAAATGGAATTTAACTTTTGCCCCTCGCGACGTAGACGGGAAGTTTACTTGCTACGTCGTAAGTATTTAGATACATTTTACATTTACAAACAGAACCCAAATAACAAAAGTTCCAAACGGAAGGTAATTTAGCGACTCTGCCCGTGCTTTCCGTTTAAATTTCGGGGGTACAGTCGTGTAAGAAGTCTTTTTCACAACTTGGAGCTCACCTACAGACACATCTGTAACACAATTCACGATGCGGGAGGAACAAAAGAAAAGACAGAGGGACGACGGTCGTCCACGTTGGACCAGACGGGACCGTGAGGCGGAGACGGTCCACGTGGACCAGATGGGGTCCACGTGGGGAGCCAGGATGGCGGGACCGAGGGCGGAGACGGGTCTTCACAAGGTTTAAAGGTGAGTCGGCACATATATATGTCTGACTCTTCGACCTCCTCTTCCTTAAAGTCGGGATAGGGATTTTTTCTGCCGCTCTGTGGTGAGAGCGAATCTTTATGGAGGAACGGTAAAACTCGACATCCGCGGTATAAAAACGTCTCACAAAAAACAAATCGGACCATCGAGGTCAAAAACGCCGCGAAATAAAACAAAGGGCGTATACCCAAATATAAACCTAAAGACAACCCCCCTCGGAGGACCCCAGGAGATGCCAGGCACCACACCCGACCGAGCCCAAAGCGAGGCACAAAAAAACGAAAACCGGGGGGTCAAGGAGTGGCCGTGGGGAGCGGAGGAAAAACAAAAGGGCGGCAAAGGCGTCAACAGCTCTCGGGTTCCTGTTCGCCTGACTACCATGAGTTATTTACGACGCAATGCCTTTATCCCAATACACGCCACATGGAAGAAGGGAGTACACGGCCCAAGTCGTGTTCGTGATTTCGCGCCCTTCATCTCCTAACCCCCGGGGGGGGCATTGTTGTACAGGTGTCTGGTGCACTTGTGACATGAAACAGTGAAGTTAGACCTCCGTATTGGTACTGGTGTTGCAATGTTTAGGAGCCGGAAAAAGGCGAAACCAACTAGAGCTCGGCACTAATCTTAAGCACGTGTCGAGATGACCATCTGTTAGTGTCAATTGACCCCTTCAGTGTGTGGTCGGCGGGGCGGGGCGGCGGCGTGGGTTGTGAGGATGCCTATATAGCATCGAAGTAAAAATTGTGAAACATATAATGTGCATCTTTAGATGCACGGATTACACACTACCGTTACTAATGGAGAGGATCCGGTCACTTATCCACGCTTTTATTTGGGCTCCAATTAACTGGGACATTAAATTAGGGCATCGTCGTGGTCCCGTGGTAATTAGCCTGGTCGAGACTAGGCCCGACTATGAGTCGTCATTCAGCGTACCCGCTATCCGTTTGACCACTTTGCGTGTCATAGCGGTCGAACGGTCAAAATGAAGATTAAATCGACATAAAAGGATAGCGGGTAGCGAGTTTGGTCAGCTTCTCACATTGACGGGACTTAGGACTAAATGTCAGGTTAAGTCCGTGGGACGAACTTTATAAATGGTCAGTCTCACTGACACTGGTTAGGTGACGTTGGCATCATCGGGCATTTAAAGTGACAGTGTGATAAATGTGGCCGGTTGGTGTAAAGATGTCACATCCCGGGGTGGATTCAGTCGCTATTCCATCACTCGGCTTCTCCGTCATTTATACCAAACAGGTTTTAATACTCTACTCTTTATTATTATAGTAGTTGGTATCTCTTTATAGGTCATTTGCTTAGTTGATTGGGTGGGAGTGCATGTACATGAGGGGTTCTACATGATGTAAGGGGTCCCCAGACATCAGGGACATCCTTATGTGGCACCTGGGTAGAAATATATGGGAAAACATAGGTTAATAAAATGCGGAGAGGGGGACCGAGGGGTCAATGAAGGACCGAGGACATATCAAAAATTCCAACTCTCGGTAATTCGTTGTAAAGTCAGTTGCTTATTTAAGAATACTCGCAACTCGTATGAGCCTATTTCGATGGGTGACGCGATATCAGGTTGTGTTATCACAGAGGATGGTCTGAATACAGTATTTTACTGTGAAATAATACAGTAACATGTTGTGAAATCCTGGTAATCATTTATCCTGTACATTCACAGTAATTAACTGTGGCTGTATTGATTTCACTGTGAAATTAAAAATGCCAGTATTTAATTGTGAACATTACAGGTAAAGACTGTAAAGTGGTAAAGCAGTAATTTATTGTAATATATTACAACTAAATATTGTGAAATCATGGTAATATTTTACAGTGTATAGTTGATTTACAACTTCAAATTATTATAGTCAATACAAAATATACATATCAACTACTAAATAAATATTGACCAGTAATTAGCGGATAATATATCCAGCAGCAGTAAATGATGTCATTAACATTAGCTCCAACTTTACCATCTGTGATGAACACATTATTGCATCAATAATCAGAATACAGTCATTTATTATATGATTCTGAAATAAGCCATTATGCATAACAGTAGTTTCACTTTTGGTTGTTTAAGTACATTGATGCCGATACTTTTATACTTTTAATTAGACATCTATTGCACGTCTGTCCGTCCTGGGAGAGGGATCCTCCTCTGTTGCACCCCCCAAGGTTTCTCCATTTCCCCATTAACTTCGGGGTTTCTTTGGGAGGGGTTTCCTTGTCCGATGTGAGGGTCCAAGGAGAGAGGGTGTGTCGTGTATTCATATTCTGTACAAGCAGTAAAGTCCACTGAGATAAAGGATAGAATGTGTGATACTGGGCTATATGAATTAACTTTGATTGATTGACTTAGGTACGATTTTGAATGCAGGTAATTTACTTGTAACAGAATATTTTTACAATGTGTTACTTTTACTTGAGTAAAGGATCAAAGTACAGGTAGTGTGTGTACTATGCAGAAATATTACAGAAACATGCTTGCCAGAGTATTAGGGGATGTGACCTTATAGGTTGGGCAGATGTGTTCTGGCTTATTCCCCACATTGTAGACACACCCATATATTGCCCAGGAGCCATGACAATGTGTGTGTGTGTGTGTGTGTGTGTGTGTGTGTGTGTGTGTGTGTGTGTGTGTGTGTGTGTGTGTGTGCGCGCGTGTGCGCGTGTGTGCTCTGCGGGACGGACTGCGCATCTCTCCGTGTTGAAGTTAAACCTGTTTCTCTCTCGCCCCGGAGCAGTGCTCTCTCTCCTGTCCTCAGCTCTCCAATCGGTATGGCTATGCGGGCCAGGACGGGATTCTACCGGCAGGAGGTAAACAGAACCGTGTGGGAGGCTCCGGAGAGGTACCGGGACCTGAAGCAGGTCGGAACAGGCGCGTATGGAACCGTGTGGTCAGTTCAACTTTGCGCCTCAGAGAAATACTGATGGAATGCTGCTCTCAGCTGATTTGTAGCCACTATTTATGCCATGTTGGACTTAAGGCAATTATTTTCTATAAACATGTATAATTTGTATTTTTTTATTTTGCAATTGGTAAGAGGCAAGAGCTACTTTATGTGTATTAGTAGGCTATTTTAAGTATTTTCCAGTTGTATACATAAATCACAAGAAACGTTGAACCTATTCCGAATGCATGAGAAACAAACAATTGACCCAAAGTAAATAACCATAGATCACGTAATGACCTTTAATACCTTATTATCCTCAGATAATAACTTAAATACTTTAAATTCTATTCATTCTATAATATTCCTGCAGCAGCAGTGTGTGATATTTTGGTCAGCATTCTCTCCACAGCTGGCTCTGCAGGGCCTCTCTGCATTGTGTTGTATGTATGAGGGTCAACAAAGAACCCCCCCAGTCTCATTGTTGGAAGTCGAAGACCCCGACTGAAGTGTTTAGAATGCACCAGCACATTGTCTTCATCAAAAACAGAGCTTTTCCACGGCAGACCTTGTGACTTAGCCCAGCAAGAAAGGAACAAGTGTAAATTATGTCATCAACGAAGCACTGCTTCATTTAGATCCAGTTACACTTGTGGACTTCCGTATGGACATGTTTAAATGCCTGCAAATTTAACCTTTTCAGAAGCGGTCTTTGATAATAAACCTGTGTCTGTTCATTTCAGTTCAGCATGGGACCGCCGGATGGGGGCACAGGTGGCCATCAAGAAACTTCACCGGCCCTTCCAGTCCAAACTGTTTGCAAAAAGAGCGTTCAGAGAGCTGCGACTCCTCAAACACATGAAGCACGAAAATGTAAGAATGTGCCTCACACTGACAGACAAAGAGGGACCTGTAATCTGAAGCTATACAAAACATCTTCAGTGTGGGGGTGAAGGGACTCCAGCGTGAAGTAAAGGCATATTAGACAGGTTGAAGGGGAAAACTGTTTATTTGTTTCATTACAACCAAACAGTCATGAATACATTATATTTCAATCAGATTTGATGTTGACCTCATTCCTCCTGATCAGGTTATTGGGCTGCTGGATGTCTTCACTGCTGAGATCGCATTGGACCGCTTGCGTGATTTGTAAGTTCCTGTGCGCCCCTGAACATTGATTATGAAACAGGACGAGTGGAGTGATACAAGTCCTCTTCTCTTGTCCACAGTTACCTGGTGATGCCGTTCATGGGAACCGACCTCGGAAAGTTGATGAAGATGGAGAAACTATCCGAGGACAGAGTGCAGTTCCTGGTCTATCAGATGCTGAGAGGACTCAAGGTGAACCAACGCTGAATGCATGTCCCTCATTACTTCTACCATCAATGTGCGTGCGTGCGTGCGTGCGTGTATGTATGCATGTCAGTCCGGGCTTTGTTTTTCTTAAAAAGCTGTTGATCTGATCTACTTCAATTGCTGGGTGTATAACGACTGAAGTGTGGAGCTGTCTCTGAGATCTACAGACAGATGTTATGTGGTGTGATATGTTGACCCTGTGTAGCGTATAGACATGGGTACAGCTTGCTGTGTGTTACTCAATACAATATTAACTGTCACAGTGTGCAGAGGATGTCATGCACTGTTCAAAATAATGTTTGGGTTTAGGTCGAGTTCGGCCTACTTGCCATGGTGGTTATTTTTAGTGAAAATATAATGTACCCTAAAAACCGGTGACCTAAGGTCTGTGATTGGCTGCTTCTTGTTGAGTTGGGTCTGGTGTAAGCTTTTGCATTAAAATCTGGCGTGTCATAATTGATGTTGACATGATTAGGTCAGCCATATCATGACAGCTACATTGCTCAGCAGCCAGGGGATTTCTGTTACAAGAGTGAAGTTGTATGTATAAGCCGTTTAATACAAAAAGTACATGCGGCCACGTAATCGGCCATCTTGAACAGGCACTGCACTATTTATGAAGAATTACAAACAAGTGAGGGTCATTTACTTTTTTTGGTCGGTAACTCAATGAGAAGTTGCTTATGTGGCCTTTGTATCCTCTCTCCGCAGTATATCCACTCTGCAGGGATCATTCACAGGGTGAGTGAACTTTGACCTTTCAGACTCTGAGCTGTGGGGGTGGGGCTGTTGCTCTTTTTCATGCTTAGTCCCATTCATTCTGATTCCCACACAGGGAGCTCCTATTTTCAAGACAGAATGGTACGCTGAATTTTGTCATTGAAAAGTCATTTACATCTCTTTATAACTCTACCCACCCAGGTAACTGCTTACTGCATGGAGAGATTGGAGTACCAGTCGAATTAGGATGGATACATCTTGAAAAATCGGAATATTCCTATATATCTTTAATGGATGGTGGATATTTAAGCAAAAAGCTTGGATAATATCATTACAATTAAAGGATTTCATTATAAAATTATATTAATTCTTCCTTCAAAATATGGTAAAAAAATGCAGATCATTGTCTTCCAGTGACTTCAACACTTTCCCTGATCTCCTCTGTCTCACATTTGTGTTTCTCACAGGACCTGAAACCTGGAAACTTAGCCATTAACCCAGACTGTGAGCTGAAGGTAAGTTCACATAAAGCAGTTTGTATGTGAGCATCCCAAACACCTTCACGTTTTCATGGATGGCTCTGATTCTCCTGCTTAAGATTCTTGATTTTGGCCTGGCGAGGCAGGCCGACGCTGAGATGACCGGCTACGTGGTGACGCGCTGGTACAGAGCGCCCGAGGTCATCCTCAACTGGATGCACTACACACAAACTGGTAAACTCTCCTGACAGGTTGTGTCAACAGGAGTGCATTGAAAGACAAAGACATGTTTTATAAAGCAGATTGAAAGAGAAGGCTGACGTTTGCTCTCTGTTGCAGTGGACATCTGGTCGGCAGGTTGTATCATGGCAGAGATGCTGCTGGGAAAGCCGCTGTTCAAAGGAAGTGATCGTATCCTTAAATGTGTCAAACTTTATCAATACATTATTTAGAGTAACTTTGGTATTTTTTTACCTTGACCCCATTTTCCCATGCATTTGTGTCCAAGACAATAATGATGAATTGTTGAAATTGGCAATGTATTCATATCTGAAATATCACAAGAGGATTGGGCCTAATCCACATGGTGAAATCAGCAAAATATTTATCTGTGGCATTTATCATCTTTACACATTCAAACAACAACACCAACACTCCTATTTTCAGTCAGCTCTCACTAGATTTGAGAACGAGACTCCTCCTTGAGCAACACTTGATCACACACATTAACAAACAGACCGTACCAAGCTAAAGGTAAAGAAACTGATCATTATTCTGTAGGGTAGGTCTCTTAATGTTGTTGTTGTTGTTGTTGTTGTTGTTGTTGTTGTTGTTGTTGACAGCTAAAACAAGAGTCTGAGACGGTCTGGGTCACTTTTAGGGGACGTACATTGACAGTGCACATCCAATACTGTGCCAATGATTTAATTAATTGTTTATCGTCCCCATTTGGTCTCCTAACAAGAAAACATGGGGAAATAGGGTCCAAGTTAATTACCTTTTTAGATATTATCACTGTTCGTACATGTTGATCGTATTCTATAACTAGCATTATAAACTGAATATGTGAAAGGTAAAGATCCATGCAAAAGATTACACTTGACCATAGCTACTGCCAGATCTGGACCAGCTCAGAGAAATCATGAAGATCACAGGAACCCCAGCTACTGACTTTGTGGTGAAGCTACAGAGCCAAGATGTGAGTCGTACCCTGAGTTTACCCTGATGAATTCCAAAACTCCCAATACAAACACACTCACTGACTCTTCATTTAAAATGTTGGTGCAATAAGTTTGAGGAAGTAACCCTTTATGAACTTCATCATAGTGTCCGTGAAGAGTGTCTGTGTGTCATCACATCAGAACCCTTTCCACATCTAACTTCTCTGTTACACATTTATTGGCACACCAACATTGGTCATCCTCCTCTCTACTTCCTCTCTCCACAGGCCAAAAACTACATCAGAAGTCTACCCAAAGTGCCAAAGAAAGACTTGCACTCTATTTTCTCCAAAGCCAGCTCCAATGGTAGGTAAAGGTCTTTGTCCCACAGTAAACCCTGGTGTGTGTGCACTGAACTCATGCTGACCTCGACATGTATCTCTGCACCACAGCAGTGTGTGTGTTGGAAAAGATGCTGCTCCTGGACCCCGAGCAGAGGGTGAGCGCCTCACAGGCTCTGGATCTGCCTTTCTTCAGCGAGTTCAGAGACACTGAGGAGGAGACGGAGGCGCAGCCCTACGATCAGACCATGGACAACACAGACCTGCCGTTGGACCAGTGGAAACGTAAGAGAGTGGGAGAAGCTAGTTAAGATAGCACAGTGTACATATATTAGATATGTCAGGTGTCTCCACACTTTATTCACTGAGGGCCACATACAGAAGAACATACAAAGGGCGGGGCCCTTCACTTGAGGTATATTGTGACCATAAGGTAAGTTATAAGTTAGCAATATCAATCAAAAGTAGGTAAATTATACTTGATACTTGAATATGCTTTACGAAAAAAGAAAAAAACAGCCTACAACACAGCTCTCCGTAGGGTTTGATTGATTGTGTTGCATCCCTTAATCAGAAGCCTCAGATTGCTTATAATAAGGGGAAATATGAAGGTTCATTTATTATTTATATATGGCCCTCGGAGGATATTGTAAAAATTGAAATGGCCCTTGAGAGGAAAAAGGTTCCCCACCCCTTGTCTATACGCAGCTGGAGGGCCAGACGTTTCCTCAGACAAACAGCGTCCTTTTACAGTACCTGCTGTTGGCCAGAAGAGGTCACTAAAGATCTCAGAACGTACTTGATGATTTATCACGTATTATTATACACAGAAGGTGGAACAAGAGAAAAGGCATTTGTAAGAGAAGATGTTTAATCCTCTGCTCTGTGCTGCAGGTCACACCTTCACAGAGATACTGACCTTCAGACTGCCCAGGGACTCCAGAGAGACGGCACTTTAAGAGCACACACAACACACACACAAACACACACACACACACACACACACACACACACACACACACACACTTGCACGTGCACACAACATGACACACACTCACACATACACGCCTGCACCATTCTTTTCTTGTTGATCTTGGTACATTTTGTAGCACTAATTGATAGTTTGTTTGAATTGTTTTCCTCAATAAATGAGATTTGCTTAATTGTTAACTGGCTCAGTTGAATTGCGTGATGTGATACTACTTTTAGTCGTATTTTATTTTTCATTTATTCTCATTCTATGTATTTCTATTTTATTATTTGCTCTGTTTTTGACTATGTATTCTCATGTTTAGTTGAATTTTTGAATTCACTTGTTGTCCGTGTGTTTGTATGTTAAAGCATAAAATAAAGTGTGTTAATATTATTATTATTATCATTATTATTATTATTATTGGCCGTCCCACATATACTCAAACGCTGAAATGGACTCAAGGCCAGAAGCCAAAGCACTGCTGCTCTGTAATCCTCCACTCACCCTTTCAATGGATGTAAAAATCTACAAAAACTTGGGGTGAAACTGTGAGTCACATTCTAAGGAACTGATCAGCCATTCTTTAACATCAATGGAGTTTCATAAGAGTGATTAATATGTTTCTGCTCTCTCTGATAAGAGCTGTTTGTCCGCCGACTTTGACTGACTTTAACTTTAGAGCGGACTGTTTCCTGGGAGCAAAACACTTCAGATTGTTATGGGACAATGGATCATACCTACACATCTAAAAAAATGGGAGGAAACTGGAATAACTGCAGACTGCTGATGCTGCTGTTTCTGACAGGTAGTACAGGGATCTTCATTCTGAAAGAAATCTATTGTTGTTTATGAAAAATATAGTCCTTTGGTACAGTGTCAGAGTGCTGCATTCAGGTTTAATTTGCAGTTGGGAAACGTTTTTTTTTAGTGGGGAGACTCTTCAGTTAGTTCCACCTTCATCAGCTACAACAGTAAATGCTTCTTACAATTAAAAAATAGTAAACATACTACATCATCCTTTTACTCATACTATTTCGGTTTTGCTCTTCACGCTGTTTGTATATCTAATAATGTAGTTTGCCAAACAGTGGCAATTGTAGCCTGGAGACAAAGAGACAATGGAATAATGTAAAAGTACATTGAAAGTTAAAAAGTTAGCAAACCGACTGAATACTGTCAGTAACACAGCCTGTAAGATGTGCTAACATTAGCCACAGTAAGCTTGTGTTCATGTCAGACCATGTGAGGCAGCAGCAGAGGGTAAACTGAGCCTGGTGTGTTTTTATCACTTATGGATTTACCATATTTAATTGCAAATGATCCTCTTTAAATAGTTATTCAGCCAATAGTTGAGAGATTTCTGAGCGTTTCAGCAACTAACCATATGATATCCTTTTCTGCTGATGTGTGATACTGGCTCAACCAAGATTAATTTGTTGACTTGCAAGGTAGCTGATTTGATCCGCAGCACTTCAATCAATCATCAAACATTTCTCTTGACCTCAAAAATTATAACAGTCCAACTCACACACGGCTTTAAACAATGAAGAATAAAGTGATACAATGGAGCTCCAACTTGTACTCTTAAGTTGGGATGGATGTTAAAATAGTATTTTCAAGGCCAAGAATAAACTTTGGTTCATAAAAGTAATGTTTAGCTGACAATGGAATATGTTGTATTGACCGTAGTTCTTCAGCCGGGACTGTCCGCAGACGGGGAGGACCCTGAACTAGATGATGACGATAATAGTAAGTGATTTTTACATTCAAATAAACAATACGACTTATATTAAACTTATCTGTTAACATTTTTATGTCCAGATACTTAACATTTAATTTCCTCTTAATTTTAGTAGGATATCTGTAAAAAAAAAGTGAAGCACCGTCCCTTCACACTTCAAGGCCTTTACACTTAAGTCTGACAACAACCATCATGACAGAAACTTGCACTCTGATTCTGACGTCTTTTATCATTTCATTAGGGAGCAAAACTTTGCAGTTCTAGACATCAAGTGTCAGCCAGGAAAAATGTTGTTTTTGGCCTTCTAATTTTGTTAAAGTGGATAAATAAATAAGATATTGTTCATTCGATCCTGAGAAGGTTTAAAGAGAACAGATTGTGTCCTGATAAAGAGGTGCGGAATCATCCCGAAGAATTCCACGTCCACTTTATAATGTTGGAGGTCAATTTAAATATACAGCAAGCAATACAACCACATTTGGAAAAAGGGCATCATTTATTGATTTCAAAGACCAATTTTTCCTTAACACGCACGCACGCACGCACGCACGCACGCACGCA